GATGGGAAGGATGGGACCGAGTGGCTTGTTGATGGGGCGCATACGGAGGATAGTTTGGCGGGGGTGGGGGAGTGGTTTGCTTCGAGGACGGCTGTGGGGGAAACAGATGGGGTGAGGATTTTGGTGTTTAACCAGCAGGAGAGGGACCCAAAGGTGCTGCTTACTGCGTTGTTGAAGGGTGCGGAGCAGGAAGCCGGTGGGTCAAAGGAGGTGTTTACACATGCTTTCTTCACGAGGAATGAAGAGCTGCCACCGAAGGAAGGCGAAAAGAGGGATTTGGCTGTGCAGGCCAAAGCGGAGGAAACAATGAAGGAGTTCAACAGTGTAGTAGAAACCAGAGTGTGTGATAATGTTCAGTCGACGATTGAACAGGTCAGAGCTTTAGCTGCAAAGGCAAAAGCCGAAGGAAAGGAATGCCGGGTGTTAGCCACGGGAAGCTTTCATCTTGTTGGGGCCATCTTGAGGGGGATCAATGAATAGGGGGATGGCTATTTGTCTCTATCAATGGGTCCATTGCACCCTCATAGGCGTACATCGCTCTGCTAGACGCTTGCCCGGAATGCGGGAAACCCTATATGCTAATGGAAACATGCCGTTTTAAGATATGGACTACGCCTATTTAAAATGCAGAAACATCTATCGATCTCTACCTTCCTTTATCTTCTGAACTTTCCAAATCTGTTTCTTAGCCCAGATTTATCCCAAAATCATTCAGGGCACTCTATTTCGGTCCCCCAAGTCCATCATGCAACTCACAGAGTAACCAGGTTGTCAATTAGGCTCTTGAAAAACAGTTATAACTATTCTTGCGCCTGAGGAGTGTGGTCATTCATGTGCACATGAAGTCTGCCGGCTTGTTAATCCGGCCAACCAGTTGTCTCGGGACGACAGGCCGGGCAGCACGTTCTGGACAAAAAACATGTATTGCAAGTGTTAAATAAGTATTAAAACATTGTGAATAGACCGCTTAAGACATTCGATAGGCTTTAAAATATAGTCGATAGACCCTGAAAGATAGTCGATAGACCTTAAAAGATAGTCGATAGACCTTAAAAAATAACCAATAGACCCAAAAGATAGTCGCAACGCCCTAAAGAAGGGTTGATAGACATTTAAATATTTAGTAGTCTTATGTGGTAGGTTCCTCGGTGGTAGAGCCGTTTTCTTTTTGTCCAGGGCGTGGGCCAGGCAGTCGCAGCGGAATAGAAGTGGGTCTTCTGACGTCTTCACCGTCGCCGCCGATGTTCGGGGCCCGAAGCAACCCGGAGTATTCCGCTTCCAGTTATCTCACGCACTATCCCTCATCCGTCTTCATTTTATTCTGCATCTCATTGGAAAGAGTATGGGTGTATCATCATCAAACTTCACAAGATGAGACTTCCGTAATACACGACATTGTCAACACGTACCTAAGACTCAACCTCAATGCATCATGTGCTGAAGCGAAGGGGCATTTTCGGCTGTTTCCCGGTGACATCTTTCACACTTACCTCCTTCACCAAGCCGACCATCTTCATCTCAATTGTCAACCGTCGACGACGACACCTTTCCACAATGGCGTCAAGAACCTACAATGTAATAACCCATCCCCTATACCACATCGTTATTTATTGACAAGTGAGAAAAGGACGCGATTGACACCCTCAACACTCTCCAAACTCCCTTTGCTGTCATCGAAGCCCGCAGAAAAGCAGGCATCCGCCCCGATGCAAACTCCGTTCAAGAAATGAAAGGCTACCTGGCCAGAATAGGCTACTCAACCTCGTCTGACCTCGAAAAGCTCAACATTGTGCACGTCGCCGGCACAAAGGGGAAAGGCAGCACCTGCGCTTTTGTCGATTGCATCTTGTCAAAATGGCACCAGACAAAAGGGGTCCCAAAGAAAGTGGGGTTATTCACCAGCCCGCACTTGATTGCTGTCCGGGAGAGGATACGGATCGACTCTCGACCCATTTCAGAGGAGATGTTTGCAAAGTATTTCTTCGAGGTCTGGGACAGACTAGAGGGCAACAGCACAGTGGCGACTGATCTTGTCGAGCCCGGTACGAAGCCGATTTACGCACGGTATCTAACTCTCATGAGCTATCACGTCTACTTGTCGGAAGGCGTTGACGTTGCTATTTATGAGACGGGAATAGGGGGCGAATATGATGCCACGAACGTGGTGGAACGTCCTGTCACCAGCGGCATAAGCACGTTGGGGATTGATCATGTCTACGTACTGGGAGACACCGTTGACAAGATCGCCTGGCACAAGGCTGGAATCTTGAAGAAAGGGAGTCCCGGTTTTACAATTGACCAGGTTGGTTCCGCGGCGGAGGTGCTCAAGAAGAGAGCAGAGGAAAAAGGTGTCGATTTGAAGGTTCTTGGGATTGATGAAAGGTTGAAGGGGGTCAAAGTGAGGCCTGACGCCAACTTCCAGAAGAAGAACGCCACCCTCGCGATTGCTTTGGCAGAGACGGCACTGAACAAACTGGATCCAAATTTCAAGCGGGATGAGAAGGCGTTGCCAAAGGAGTTTGTCGATGGGATAGAGCAGGTCGTCTGGAGAGGACGGTGTGAGGTCAAAGAGGAGGACAATATCATCTGGCATGTGGATGGCGCGCACACCGTGGATAGCTTGAAGATGGCGGCTAGGTGGTTCGTTGAGGAAACCAAGACCGAGGGCAAGGGACCGAAGGTCTTGATCTTCAACCAGCAAGGGCGGAGCGAAGCGGTCGACTTCCTGGATGGACTATGCAATACTGTGAAGAATGCCGACCCTGCTGGTCAGGGGTTCCAGCACGTCATTTTCTGTACCAACGTCACATATGCAACCACAGGATATAAAAGAGGTACGAATTCTCTTCTCCACCATTTCATACAAAAGTCCTGGCTAATCTGAAATTAGATTTCGTGAATCACCAGTACAACCCGGCCGATATCGAGAAAATGACCCAGCAACGCATCTTTGCGGAAAGATGGGCGTCTCTAGATCCATCTGCTAAGATCCTGGTGATTTCTAGTATTGAGGAAGCTATTAACACGGCTAGAGGTCTGGCCAATTGTGAAGGAAAAGACGGTAGTAAGGTGCAAGCACTCATCACGGGCAGTTTACATCTCGTTGGCGGAGCATTGGGGATTTTAGAGAAGGCCGATGCTCTTTGACGCTTACGATCACCAATCAGAGTTGAGAGGAAAAGATGCAGGCTGGTTCCTCATTATGACTTGGTCTTGGGGATTAGATATAGCCTGTTATTCAACTGTACTGGTTTGGGCTCCATAGCCTAAGGTAGTAAAGACATCCATGACCTCAAAGATCATGAACAATCACCGGTTGGCTATTATTTTCCTGGGAGCCCGGGAATTGACACCATGCATCTTGATTACCCCTTCAAGATAATTATACAGCACCTTATGTCTCTGTATTTCCGCCTTGTTTGATGTCCCATACTGCCTATTGCGGTTCGTGGTGACTGTGTCGCCCCACCTACAGCATAGAAGGAAAGCCCAACCGGAACCGTCTGGGCGCAACATCGAGGCGGCCGCTTCGAAATTGGTCTTCTGCCCCTCGCTCGTGTTCTTCGGCCACCGGGGAGCCATCTCTCCCAAGTCGGCATTTTCCATAAACTTTCGGTCATTGCTGAAGAGGTAAACAGTCACAAGCCACTCGCCTGTCAGATGTGTTTTTGCGGGGTCCTGTTTCGAAAACACCATTCGCCTTCCCCAGGTTCTGTAAGGTCTGCAATAGCAGCCGCCGGCATTCTTCTTGGTGGGGCAGTGAGCTTCGGGGCGGTATACAGGACTCGCAACCTTAGTGGAGGCCGAAGCGACCGGATAGTTTCGCCAATCGAGCAGCGATTTTAATTCTGGGGCCTTGCCCACAGACGATGGCGGCTTTACCAAAAGACAGCGAACCATGATTTTCCAGGGCGCTTCGTCTGGCTCAAACCCTGGTGTCGTCTGGGATGAACAAATCATGTACCGAAAGCTTCGGGCGGGTGGCATGATCGATTGGCGGACGGCGGTGAAGTAATCTTCATGGTTGCGACTGCGGCGGTGGATGATCCGGTCCACCACATTCCAAATCTTGTAGGGGCGAGACGTGAGCCCCAGCCATCGGCGCATCGCCCTGTTCTCGGCATCTCCCTCAAGCGCCTTCCGGATAAGGTGGCCCTCAGGATAAATGTGACGATTTTCTGGCGTGTCAGGTAGGTGCTTGAATGCTAAGGCTTTGTCCGTTGTTGGTTCTTGCCTTAACGGCCTCTCCGTTATTGGCACCTTCATTGTTAGTGACTGAAGATGCGGCTGCGCAGAGAATGTCTGGGGGGGAAAGTTGTGATTGTCAAGAGAGCTGGGAGAGAGAAAGAAAACCAGATGTAGAGAAACTGCCAACTGGCTTAAATATCCCACCAGAAATTAAGCGTCCGCCTCAAAGTTTTTCCCCCTCCCGAACCAAACTGTCAATGATGGCGTGACCTTGATTAAGTGGAAGCCTCACAACCGTACTTGGGAATCTTGTCATACTGTGAGCAGAAAAACAGGTGATACAAGTCGCAAGCCAACGCATGGGACCACTAATATCAGTTATACTGTTTTAAAACATTGAACATAGGCACCTACATAAGTCAAGGCTCAGGTTTGCAGTAGCGATTCAGATCTATAGTACTCCGAGACGAAGGGTTCCGACACAGATCAAGGCTGTCCAATCTCTGGAAGGTTTAATCCTATATTTTGACCTAAAGCGATTCAGACTAATATGGTTGACGGTCCTCTCCCTATCAACCTACCTAGGTAGTTAGTGCCTCGAAATTTCATTCAAGCCGTTGTGACTGACTTTTCAATGAATCCAAGAACATAGATCTACCTGTTGAAAGCGAGCCAATGGCATCTGAGGCACAGGGACTCTCTGTTACGCCAAGACTTATTGAATAGGGGGCCCCTTTTTTGTATTGTACACAAGGCCAATTCGAAGCTCCGTTTCATAGAACCAAGAAAATAAACAATTTATATATCCACACGGTGAGATGGCCGAGCGGTCTAAGGCGCCAGGTTCAGGCCCACCTGAATTCTCATATTTCCTGGTCTCGAAAGGGGCGTGGGTTCGAATCCCACTCTCATCATTCTTTTGCTGTTCGTGGCAACATTATTCTCCTTTTTTTTTATTATCCTTCTGTTTTTTCCTGTGAGGAAAAATGGCGTCTGCACTGATAGCCAAGCTGGTTGTCGTCTTGATTGACATCTTGATGTCTATCCAACCTGAACCGTACCTCATTACACAACCCAAACTGATATCATTCCGAGATCGCAGTTCCAACTGCCGCGCTCAGCGGTATAACAGATAGGGGCTACCTTGTTTGATAGCTGCCATCTGCCATCGAAGGCAGCGGGTGCAGTAGCGAATGCACCACCATCACGCGCAAACGAACGCACACCACCCTCGAGCCGCACTTGCATTTGCGATTCCGTTGCAGCGGCATATCAAATCCTCTGCCCTCCCACGAACCAGGCTTCAAGCACCCGATCAGCCCACAATGCCCTCATGGTGCTTTGCTCATCCTAGTCCACCCAGTCGCTCGGGCGCTCGAGTCCAACCCTGCGGCAATCCAACAAAACAACTTCAGCCGACATTAACCATTCTCCTTTTTGTTTTTATCCTGAGAAGTCTCTGACTCTCAGCTGATACCCACTCCAGGTTTGGCAGCGCTGCATCAGGCACCAGAAGGCGTGAAAAGATGATGCCCCCCTCGCAGTAGCGGATACCGCCGGTGATGCGCTCCGGTTCTGATTGGAGCGGGTAAAGTGGCTGGATAAATGTAGAGCATTTCGTGGGGTTCGTTGATGGTGGGGTCCTATGCTTCAAGCTCGCTCTGAAAGCTCTCCTTCGTCTGCAACACCAAAAAAGAAAACCAAGACGCGCCGTGTAAATCCATGGAACCCATGGCGTAATGCCGGCCTTGCGGCGGGGGTTGAGTCTCCAACATGGCATCGAGCCCAATCTTCCAGGCCCCCGAAACTGTCACCCTGCTGGTCACCGGTCAGGTACACGCGCATAGAGGAGCTGCCAGGAGGAGAAGCTCCCCGCACTCGCCCCCCTCCATGCAGTTCATCCATCCACGTCCAGTCCATTCAAGCTCCCCTGCGCTGCGGCCCTCCTGGTAGGTTCTGGCCTCTGGGATATCTCCGAGAAGCGGGTTTGCTTTCTTTGTTGGGGGGACTGAATTGGCTCCTGAGTCGGGGTCACTAGGTACTTGGCTTTCGTATATATTCGTGTGCTCTTGTGCTTTCCTTTCGTCTTCCTCTCTCTCGTCATCCATTTTCTCGACGAGGTTTCTGTCTGTCTCCGATTGCAAGCAAGCGCTGATATCTCGTTGCCTCTCTTTTTACTGTCTCCCCTTCACAGCTCTCGCACAACACCTTCCCCCAAAGTCACAATGTCTTCCGTAAGTTCCGTCATAGCTCTGGCATCTGCCAACTCCTCCCCAACGACGCAAGCTAACCATCGCCAAACAGAATCTTTCTTTCGTCCTCAACAAGCCCAATGACGTCTCCTTCGAGGAGCGCCCAATCCCCAAGCTCAAGTCCCCCCACGATGTCCTCGTCGCCGTCAACTACACCGGCATCTGCGGCTCCGATGTCCACTACTGGCTCCACGGTGCCATTGGCCATTTCGTCGTCAAGGACCCCATGGTCCTCGGCCACGAGTCCGCCGGCACCGTCGTCGAAGTCGGCTCCGAAGTCACAGACCTCAAGAAAGGTGACCGTGTTGCCCTCGAGCCCGGCTACCCCTGCCGCCGCTGCTCCGACTGCCTTTCCGGCCGTTACAACCTCTGCCACGAGATGGTCTTCGCGGCCACCCCGCCCTATGACGGAACCCTGACCGGATTCTGGGCTGCCCCTCACGACTTCTGCTACAAGCTCCCCGAAAACGTCTCTCTCCAGGAGGGCGCCCTCATCGAGCCCCTCGCCGTGGCCGTGCACATCGTCAAGCAGGCCCGCGTCCAGCCCGGCAACAGCGTCGTCGTCATGGGCGCCGGCCCCGTCGGCCTCCTCTGCGCCGCCGTCGCCGGCTCCTTCGGCGCCACCAAGATCGTCCAGGTGGACATTGTCCAGTCCAAGCTCGACTTTGCCCGCTCCTTCGCCGCCACCCACACCTACCTCTCCCAGCGCGTGTCCCCCGAGGAGAACGCCAAGAACCTCCTCGCCTCCGCCGGCCTCGGCAAGGGCGCCGACGTCGTCATTGACGCCTCGGGCGCCGAGCCCAGCATCCAGACCTCGCTCCACGTCGTCCGCATGGGCGGCACCTACGTCCAAGGCGGCATGGGCAAGTCCGACATCAACTTCCCCATCATGGCGCTCTGCCTCAAGGAGGTGACCGCCCGCGGCTCGTTCCGCTACGGCAGCGGCGACTACAAGCTCGCCATCGAGCTGGTGGCTGCCGGCAAGGTGGACGTCAAGAAGCTGGTGAACGGCGTGGTTGCTTTCAAGGATGCCGAGTCGGCTTTCAAGAAGGTGAAGGAGGGCGAGGTGATCAAGATTTTGATCGCCGGCCCCAACGAGAAGGTCGAGAGCGAGCTTGACACCTCTGTTGATGCTGCCAAGCTTGAGGCGGCCAAGGCTTCTGGCAACACAGGCTGCTGCTAAGGCAAAAGCATGAACAAGTAAAATAAAATAAAAAATGGAGGGAGGAAAAAGAAAAACTTGCATAGTGGTGTTCACAGGCGTAACGGTTGCATGGGAAGGGGGACTTTTTTTTTTTTTTAGCTCATCATGATCAGAGCAATGTTTATTTGGCGTCTTTAGTAGTAGCAAAGATGTATACCTTGGAGATCTAGTAAACAATATGAAAACAAATTTAAAAAACAAAAAAACACCTTCTTTCGTGACATTGTCCGTTTTTCCCCCACCCTTGAAAAGAAATCCCAGCACTAAAAACAGCAAAAGTCTATCTAGATCATGCCCAAATACCTCGTCGAAATTTTGGTCTCCTTCGTCGCCCCCTTGACAGCAATAGAAACCACCTCCCCGGGCACAATATCCACCAAGTTATCCTCAAACCTGACCGCGTCGTCCTCGCACTCCAGCGCCACGCCCTTGACGGGGACCTCAGCGCTGATCTCGACAGCCGTCGCATCGGCATTGAGCACCGCCTTCAGCTCCTTTGGTTTCTGAAGGTGCACGTACTTGAGCGGCTCCGGCCAGTTGACATACCTCGCAATCTGCTTGCCGTCCTTATCAACAATATACGCCGCCGCCACAACCTTATTCTCCTCTCCTTTGCCCTTTTCTTTCACGGGGACATCCAGCGCCGCCACCTCTGTCGATCGATTCTCCGGCAGGACCAACCCTTCCGCAATCTTCTTCTCAAACGTCTGCTCTCCAGTAATAACATCCCACGCCTTGACCACCACGTCCACCGTCAGGTCCTCCAGGGTCAAGTTGCTCCCCCAGACTTCAATCTTTGTCTCAGTGTCAATATACACCCGCGTGTACTTGTCCCTGGGATGCTTGTGAACCTTTCGCGTAATCCCCGCAGAAACCGGCGCCATCTCCCGCTTGACCGTGTAAAAAGCGTGCTTGGGTCTCAGATAAAAATCCACAATCGACCAGCTCGTCACCGGCCAGCAGTCGTTAATCTGCCACACCAGCGCGCCGGCATTGTACTCCCTCCCCGGTCCCTTCCACTGCCTCTTCCACAGTCTATACGCGCTCGCCAAGCACTCCGCCTGCATCAGCTGAGTAGCATACACAAACTGCTCCAGCGGGTCGGGGGCATATCTCATGTTCTCGACCAGATACAAAGCAATTCTCCTCTCGTGGCCGTCGGCCTTGTTGTGGAAGTCCACAGTGGAGGACTGGGGGTATCTGTCTGGATCGTCTTTGCCCAGGGGCAGATACGCGTCGATGGTCTTGACGTCTGGGAAGGCTTGCATGCCAAACTCGCTCACGAATCTCCCGGAAAGCTTGTCGAAATCCTGCCACTTCTCCTGTGTGCCATGCCAGACGTTCCACTGGTGGATGTCACCCACTGTGGCGTCGTGGGTGTCCCTCCCCGCGCCCCACGGGCTGCCAGGGTGGTAGAATGTCCCTGGGATCAACTCCGCGCAGGCATCACTGAGAATCTTTTCGTAGATGTATCTCGCAGGAAAGTCAGTTTGCAGCCAGGACTCCGCGTCCTTGTTCTCAAAGTCGTAGGTCAACCCGGCAGACTCTTGATATTGATAATCCTCGTTGTTGCCCGCCCAGATGACAATAGAAGGATGGTGACGAAGCAGCTTGATGTTCTCACGGGCTTCACGGTCGATGGACTTTCTCAGCTCAGGCCAGGCGGGGTAGTTGCCGCAGCCGAACATAAAGTCCTGCCAGACGAGGACGCCAAGCTCGTCGCAGGCGTCGTAGAAGGCTTGCTCTTCGTAGATGCCGCCGCCCCAGATGCGGACCATAAATTGGTTGCCATCACGGACGAGGGAGATCCAGTCGTGGTATTTTTGGGCTGTGATGCGGGGGATGAAGTTGTCAGCAGGGATCCAGTCGGAGCCGCCGCAGTAGATGGGGATGTTGTTGACGCGGAAGAAGAAGGAGGTGCCGGGTTGGTCGAGGAGGGGTTGCTGGACGAGCTCGGCGCGGCGGAGGCCGATCTTCTTGGTGATGTTGGAGATTTCATCGTCACCGCTGAGGAGCGTGGCCTTTAGCGTGTAAAGGGGCTGCTTGCCGTAGCGGAAAGGGAACCAAAGTGAAGGGTTGTCGAGGTGGAAAGAAACAGTGACGTTGCCGGCGCCATTGGCGTCCGCTGTTTGGGAGGCTACCTCCTTGCCGTCAAGCGAGAGGTCGAACTTGACCTTCCCGCCTGATCCTTCGACTTCAGCCGTGGCCTTGATATCGGCAGACGTGAGATCCTCGGGGATGGTACTGTCGAAGCTCAAGTCCGCAAGTCTCGTCTCGTAGATTTCAAGGTTGATTGGTCGCCAAGGACCGCAGGTAAGGAGCGCCGGGCCCCAGTCCCATCCCTATTCTGAACTATTAGCAACCTTTCTTCCTGAAAATCCGTCTGCGAGAGATCATACCCAGTGATACTGCGCCTTCCTCACAGCCAATCTCGAATTATCACCATTCCACACGCCCC